TTACGTTACAGAAAAGAGTAGTTATGATGATTTTTAAACCGTTTCTGATGACTGTAACCCAGTCTGGCAAATAGACGCTCGATGAAACTTTGCTTGCAGCCTTTTTTCCTGTGTGATTTCACCTGCCGTGGTAGCATAGCCTCATTTGCTGTCATGTGACTATGCTGGAGAGTGCAGGTTTCACTCCGGACCACGGCGAATGTATTTGAATGGGGAAAATGCAAAGAACAGAAATGTGCCACTTCTGTTCACTTCTGGAAACTGTTTGGAGTCACGGCAAAAATCTTCACTGGGTCGAAATTCGTCCACAGACCCGCACGACAGCGTGCCTGGTAATCATATGGAGGTATCAGCACGTATAACTTCCGCAATTGTATTTGATCGTGCTTTCACGCATGGACTGTGCAGCGGTATCATGTTTCCTAGAACGTTCAAAAATTAACTGTGATGATTTTTTATGCGCCTCGTTAATTTGATGAGTTCTATCGGTGCCTTGCGAAACTAGAGATACGTATGCTTAGCAAGTATGTCGACACCAAAAAATCTATTATTTGTGTACAGTCTATGGTGATCGATAAAGCAAGACTGTTTAGGCAACCAGAGCTCCTTGTATTTGTGACAAATTGGCAGTGAAAAACAACACGAGACACACACGGAAGTGTGGGGAGCATCGTGCGAGTGCCTGGTAATAAAAAAGAAGGCTTTTGCTCAACACCAATAAAACAAAAGAATAATCATCACCCTTGCATTGCTTGCATCAATATTAGGTAGAAATAACCACTCGCGACTGGCCGCAGCCGGCTAGGCTGAGCGCGCGCATGTGCGCGTGCAAGACCCCCCTGGTTGAGAAGAAACTTGAACACTGAAGGAGAAACATTGCTCCTTTGGTCTTTTTCACGAGAGGGTGTGACAGGTAAGACGCCCTAAAGAGAGAAAGTCGCTGCGCCGAAGGAGAAACTGGAGCCCATTTCTCTATTCTCGCTCTTTTTTAAAGACAATAGTCTTTCTTGGGGACCTTTGACGCAAAAATTTTGGTCTGTCTGTCTACCCTTAACGGCATCCTAAAAGGCACCAGACAATACCCAAAATGGACAACATTATCCGCAGCACCCACCAATATTGCTCAATATTCGGCAGTGGCACATGATTGTGCCACTGCCGAATATTGGCAGTGATTGTGCCAATATTCGGCAGTGCTGCCGAATATTGGCACAATCAATATTCGGCAGCAGCACCCACCAATATTGCTCAAATTAAAAGCAGTGGCACAATTAATAAATTTTTAGACAATTATCACTAACATATTTCTACAGAACAGTATGAAGGAATAAGGAATGGACAAATTTATTCTATCCCTTTAACGCAACATTATTGAACAAAATACTACGCAAACAGCATCCCGTGAAGCAGTATCCAAAGAGTGACAAATCGGACGAATGTATGATCTTTATAATTTGAAGCTCGGTATCTTTGGACAGCTGTCTACATGTCCACAGCTTCTCTACGCGAGCAAACTAAATTTTTTCGAAAATTCGCGTATTTAATAAGATCTAGTGACCGTAACTCTTTCACGAAATATAATCAATCAATTATTCTTTATTTATTGGCGTCATAAATGTAATACATTGCAAGTGGATATGAAAAGAGAGGCCCGACAGTAACAAACCAGAGGCGGGTACACCTGTGTTATTACGAAGAAGAAACTAAACTACGAACAACGAAAGAGCAACTTCTGTTTAAGTGCTACAAGTAAAAAGAGCATTTTGAAGTTATCATACAAGCATTTTAAATGTTTACAAACATAGCAAGATATAACAAATAAACAAAATGAAGCAATTAGACAATTAATAAACATATTTTACAAGTTTGGTCTTAAAACTGGAATGTGCATTATGTATTTCATATCATGTGAGAAAGAATTATATAATGAACTAATGAAGAAACAATGATCATTTTTTCATAATTAGTGTGAACTTTAGGTAATAACAGGCTATTTGCGATTGCGAATCTAGTTTTATTTGGATCATTCAACAAGACAGTAGGAAATATATCGATAGTGGGGGTGCGGTGGAAAACCTTGAAGAACAAAACGCACTTTATAAACGTATATTTGGGAGACGGGTAATACGTCAAGCTGGAAAAAATGGGATGTGATGGAGTCTCACGTGAAGCGAAAGTCACGAGTCACATTGCTTGTTTTTGCAATACCTTTTACGGCCAAATGGGCACTGAATATGAATAACCCCATGATATAAGGTAATAACTGAGATGACTGTGTACATTAGAATGCCTTCAAAGTGTTGACGTTAAAACACATCCGTGACTTGACCAATGCCCTGATACCGTATAAAACCTTCTCACCAAGAAAATTGCTATTTTGTAGAAATTTCACAAGTGTGTGCATTATAAGTTTGAAAGATGACGTATGCTCACATAAAGGAATACATACTCAGTTTACAAAAAAGGGAGGAATTCATGCTAGCTTTTTATTTCGTAAATGAAAAAGCAAAAAAAAAGGTTTTGGGGTGAATAATCAATAATTCATTATAGTTGCGCCAATCAACAAATGAATTAAGGTCAGCTTGAAGTGAGAACACGAGATTCGCAGAACCCAAGCGATGAGAAAAGAGAGTCGTGTCAACAGCGCAAAGGAACCAAGAAGAATAATTAAGGCAAGTTGGTAAATTATTGGTGTTTATTAAAAATAGTAACAGACCGAATATCGAACCTTGCGGAACACCTCTGGTAATCGGGTTAGGACTGGATATATAAAGTTATTGACCAAGACCACCTGAAACCTCCCAAGAAGAAAGATCTGTAATAGCGTTAATGCGGGACCAGTTATCTCATAGTGGCCGGAAAACGATTTGTTCACCGAAGGGTCTGGTAGATAGTGTAACAATGACGAAGTGATCACTTCAAACGGCTCTTTCATGAGTAAGCGGTCGCAATGTCCGGCACCAATTGTTGGTGATTCTTCCATTCAACAGCAAAAAAAGTGATATCACCGCACCAAATGTCATTTTTGAAGCCGGACTGCTCGGTTTATCCGGTGCCTTCAATAACAAACAGCGCAATGCAGAAAGACGGGCGCATCCACACCAGGCAGGCTTTCATTGAGGTGCCATAGAAGATTACGCGCGAGCGTAGTCTCGACAAGTGGACTTCAGGGACACCTCAAGTATGTTCATCCACAAGGCGCTCAAGGTCACACAACTGAGGAGGTCTTGGCCCCCGTTGGTATTGCTTGCTCTATGCCAGTCTGCCGCTGGGGAAGACCACACATACGACAAACACAAACACGATCATATGGGGCGAGTTTGTCCCCCGTGTTGTCAGGTCTTTGTGTGTTTAAACTAGCGACAAACTGTCATTCAGTAAGCTGAACGTCAGTTTTTCTAAGAACTCTATTTTAAAGAAAGTTAATATTTCCGAGTGGGCCTAGCAAGGTGAAGACCTTTTGTTGGGAGACTAATTGGCGTGATACTATAGTGAATATTTCTTTTTCTTTGCGCTAAAAATATTTATTTCGCGCTAAAATGTATTCAATAGCCAATGACTCGCGTCAATTGTGGAGCAGATAAAGTTTTTTTTTTCATTCCCTCCCTACATTGCTTTTACCAAGGTGGTTAAGCGAAGCCATTAGTAGCAAAGTCTTTTAGCTCCGTGACGCCACATACAAAAATCTTACATGCTCGCTAGAAAGGCGACAGAAGCTATATCAGTTGTCCAAGTGTGCGTAGAGCTTGCAAGAACATGCAGTGACTGCTTCACTAAGAAAAAAAACATACCACAACCATTAGCAATTCAACGTTCCAGAAATACTGAGGATCAAGCGTCCTTGTATGTGGAAGCAGGCCCGCAGCCAGGAATATATTTCCCTGGAGGGAGGCAACGAGAGGCACTTTCGCAACGTCTTCACTGTATCAGAAGAACACTTATTTTCATTGTTTACGTAAACACCCCACTCCGAATTTCGGAAGCTCGTGGGTAGGTGGCTAGGCATTCCCAACCTCGGGCTACGGGCCAAGCAAACTTTAGCATACGCAGAAATGTAAGCATTACTGCGATGCAGCCAAGTGCACCCGTTCTTTCTAGATAGAACAGGAGAAAAAACTTCCTTATCGCTGCTAGAAGCTTTGAGAAAAAACAGCGAACACGTATTCATATGCAGTATTGTCATGCTCCCCCATGAAGTCTTTGAGACAGTTTCCCGAAAACTAGTAGGATGTGTCCTTTGAAGCGCTCTGACGGACAAACGCGCTAAACAATTGGTCGAATTCTAAGGAGACATTCTTTTTTTAAAGCAGCAGATTTAGTGTGGTGCACTCAGTTGCCGCTTGTGTTTTCTATCGGCGTCTCAGATGAATCCGAGATCCAAGACAACAAAGTTTCATGAGTAGCACTCATAAAAAGTTCTATTAAGTTTTAATCGTGTCCAGCAGTAATTGTGAGAAAGAAATCTTTTGAATAAAACCACAGACATGAACAGTAAATTCTTACAAGAGTACTTAACCGATTATTCTAATGTGACTATTTCGCAGAAAAAAACCTTGCAAATCAAACTGCAGGGGCGGCCTCTAAAAGAATGTCTCAGACCCAGGTTCGTAGCCAGGGAAATAACGGAGTGGCCTCACTCCCCCCCCCCCCCGAATTTCAATCAAATAGGGTGTTTTACCGAGGAAAAATAATAACGATAACAGTTTTTCAAGACCTTCAACAAGTAGGCTCCGCCGCCCCGAAAAAAGTTCCAGCCTACGGGTCTGCTCAAGCCCAGCACATTTTTAAACCGTTAATCGACGGAAAAATTAGCGCAAGCAGCCACCTTCACTTGCAAGGAAAAAAGTGCTGTATGAATTTGCGTCAGGTCATTTTGTCATTTATTGTCTTACTCTTTTCGCTTTGTTCTGAACAAAGAAGTTTCATCACTCACAACCTCATATTGCCGTAAAAGAAGAGAAAAATAATTCAAAAGTATCGACTCCGCTGCAAAGACTCACCGCCTCCGTTCTTGTAGCATAAGTAGGGAAACCTCCAGACGTTTCCGAGACCGATGGCATAGCCGACACAGGACATGAGAAAGTCAAGTTTCCCGGTCCACTGTCCCCTGTCGGGCATGTGTGGTGCTTCCCTGGCCACACCTTCATCGTCACTTCCGCCTTTCAGGTTGTTGAGCTCGCAGGGTATTTGCTTTGTATCCGTCATGTCCGGTATGCAGGGGAGGCGCACTTTCGAACGAATTTCCCTTGGTCACTTCCTCCGGAAACAGAATAAAGGACGCAGGCACATGCAAACACACACAACACACCCCCTGCGCGAGAAAAGAGGCGGCTTGTCGCAACAGTTTTCGTGATGCCGTCTACTGCGAGCCGCCACCAAGCAGACGACCGCCGACAGTGCGCGCTTCCACAATTGGCCTGATTAAGAACACGTGACAAGGTGGTCATGGGGAGTGCGCATGCGCAGTAAGCCAGAGCCACGTGAGCGCGTCCATTCTGGGCGCTCCCGCTGCGTTTTGTTTAACCTTGGCGCTGGCTTTCGTTTTGTTTCTTTTCGTTCGCGTCTAGAATGGCGCTTCGCAGCATCTCACCCCGTTCGCGACATCCGCACGATTGCGTGGGCGCTCGCCGCCGCCGCGTGCGAGAATCTCAGGAGAGTCGCGCGCGGCGGTATGCTCAGGCTTTTTCGTTACCACACGATAAGATTGGCGCATGAAAGCAGTTGCGCTGTTCTCTAAACACTGTTCCTTCGTTTTGTACCGTAAGACCGCCTCAAATGTGCGTTGTATATTTTTCACTCTAAATACTCTACCAGCTTATGTTGTTTTTGCAGCGGATGCTTCGCACTCAGAGGAAAGATCTGCCATAGGTATATTTTGCCCTGAACACGACTGGTCTTTTTTGTTACAACTGTTCGATTTTATTCCACTTTTTCTAGCTCCACTCATGGCAATAATATTAGATTCATGCATGCATCTCACTTACAGTAATTTCAATTATCCCAGACGCATCTGGTGAATTGCTGTTCTGCTCATGTTATCTAAACCTTTTCCAGCTTCAAAACAGACAAACAAAAACTTCTGTATTTGCGTAGTGAATTCAAGCAAAATGACATTAGTATAAGCGAGAACTTCACAGTCGCTAAACATGCCGTACGAAGAAAACTGATAGCTTTCTCTGATAGCCAGGCATCTTTCGAACGCTTTATGCTACGTCACAACAAATTAATCTTGAATGGGAAATGGTACGTGTAAAGCGCCAGTACGGATGGAATTCGAGAAATTTGGAGACACGGCGATAATCTAAAGTGTTCATTCTCTGTTCCGCCACCTCCTTTTAACTAGCGGTGTGAGAGGGGCAGTGGGTCATTTTCTTTTTCTCGAGTTTCGGTATTTTTATTCTAACGTCAGAAGTGCCTCTAACAAACACGATTCTTTGTCAGCCGCAATTTTCACAAGTTCTGTGAAAATCATTGCGCTTACTGAAATATGGTTACCTGCGCATGTCGCTGACATTCAAGTGCTCAAAATTGCCAGCGTTCTTTCATGTTTATCGCTGTAGTCGTACTTGGCGTAGCCGAGTTGGCGTCCTTTCACAATTTCAAATGACATTCCAGTGGAAACTACAAACGTCTAGATTCCCCTACAGATTTAATGAAGCTCAATAACATACAGATGCCGGATGCTCGGAGAAAACTTAGCCGCCTTTCATTCCTTTACAACTAACTGCCTTACAGGTAAAATCAACTTAGCTCTTCCAGCATCTGTTAAGCGTGTTAGTACAAGAGCAACGCGGCACACTCACAAACATTCGTTAGCACCAGTATTTACTCGCACAATAGCATTTCTGCTGAGTCCAGAAAATCCAGTTGAAATTTTTTGTGAATGGGAGTCAGAGTGAGTTCGACCCAGGAAACGTCTGATGAGCCCGAGACCGAGTGAGTCCAAAGCGCGAGATTTATTTTTTGAGTGAGGCTGCTAGAGTTCTACTTTATTTTGCCAACTTATGTTCTACGGTGCAGGCCAAGAATCCTATTTTGAAAGGGACCGTACGAAAAAGGAAATTTATTAAGTGTCAGTTTGAGCATAAATGATAGTGCGTCAGAGTGATGGGGCCGTGTTTGCCTTGTTGAAAGGAGACGCACAAAAAGCGAAGGATCAAACTGGAAATAGGGGCTAATTATATTATGCAAATATTCTAGCCGGTAGTTTAATGTTATTTGATTATTCTTATGTGAGGTTTAACGTCCCAAAATCACCACATGATTATGAGAGACGCCATAGTGGAGGGCTCCGGAAATTGTGGCAACCTAGGGTTCTTTAACGTGCACCCAAATCTGAGCACACAGGCCTACATCATTTACGCCTCCATCGGAAATGCAGTTGCCACCGCCGGGATTCGATCCCACCACCTGTGAATTAGCAGCCGAGTATTTTAGCCACTTGACCACCACGACAGGACGTTTAATGTTAATTGAAGAAAGGTAATGTCATTAGTCAAGATGAGTGTTGATGAGCTGTCCGAAAGCTTACATTTGTTAAAAATAAATCGAAACGTTTTTTTCTTCCAAGTTTGTTAATATTGCGCTCAATTTATAAATTTGGGTATATTCTAAGTTTAGGGTGAACTTAGCTTAGATATGCGAGTATGTAACGCATGTAGGGTAATTTCTAAATTGGCGTGGGAGACAAGCTAGTTTGGAGAATGGAGTGAAGCTTGATTGATTGAATAATAAGTGGGTTTAACGTGCCTCAACCACCATAGGAATATGAGAGACGTCGTAGAGGAGGGCTCCAGAAATTAAGACCACCTGGGGTTCTTTAACGTGCACCCAAATCTGAGCAAATGCAATGAAGCGTGTTTTCGATATGAAGGTTTCAAGAAAGATTGTTAATAAATGTTACGCCAAGGTATTTGTAATTCTTAACTTCTTTTATTTTAACAGACCCCATTTTCCGCACATCATCATGGGGATTTGTTTTATGCATTGTGGAAACAGAGACTGTTTGGTTGGTATTTGCAGCCATGCCCAATTTTTCGTGACACAAGAATGTGTTATTTAAGCTCAAATCTGATTCTGTATGATCTTCCATGGACTTGATTTTACGAAACACCACACAGACATCTGCGAAGAGTCTTATTATGAAACCAGGTATTATGGTGGTGACGACGTCGTTGATATATAAAAGAAAAAGCAGTGGACCCAGAACATTGCCCCTGAGATCACCTGAAGTGAGTGGTTGATAGCCACAGCTGTGTGCATCGATTGTAACATACTGTTCACTATTATTCAAATCGTCTGCGATCCAAAAAATGAAGATACCTGAAAGGTTATAGTTTTTTAGCTTTAAAATTTTATTTTTAGTGAATCAGGTTATCAAAGGTGGCTTTACTAAAACCACAAATTAGAGCATCAATTTGACCGTTAGCATTCAAAGCTTTAGCAAATGAGTCCACTACTATAACTAATCGTGTCTAGCATTCTTTTCTAAGGCTACACTGGCATGTGGTTGGTATCGAGATTTCTTCTAGCAATCCATAATGCGAGTTTCGAATATCTGATAAAAAAATCGCAGCATCACGACCTTGGCCCCGTATGTAAAGAAGCAAATACTAGAAGGCATCACCACCCACACACTCACGTGGTTCCCACATAGAATCCATCAGGGCAGGCCCCTGATTGAGCTGGCCCACTCCAAGGCGCGAGGTCTCGCTTTCCGCGAGCACGGAGAACTCCGGCCCGCATTGTGGAGAACAGAGACCACCTATAATGAAATTACCCAGCACCTCTGCAGGAGAGACAGTTAAATCGATGACGGGCTTTCACTCTCAGGCTACTGCAGATGGGCTCATATCCCAGCCCCGCTTTATTGCATAAAATATATCCCGACATTTATCCTAATAGCTCTTGCAGGCACAGCAGCGAATTCGGTAGCCCAAACCACAGGCTCTGGCGTGGCCCCTGGTTGTGGGGCGTGAGCCAATCCAATGAAGAAAAGTGGTTACCCGCTATCAAGAGCCCCGATGTCGGGGATCAACTGTGGCTTCTCTAGAGGGCCCACGATGTGGCGGTTTGGCTTGGCCTGACTGTCCCAACATGGGAGCAGCCCGCTGCGCGTTCAGTAGTGCCCCTCAGCCTCGGTCTTCAAACAAAGTTTCGCACTCATTCATCCAGAATCATGACGTCAATGATGATCATCATTATCATCAGCTTTACTACGCCCGCTGCAGGACAAAGCCCTCTCACATAATTCGCCAATCAACCCGGTCTCGTGCTTTCCGTCGCCACGTTATTCCTGCGGACTTTTTAATCTCATTGGCCCCCAAAACTTTGTCTCCCCTTCGATGCATTTGCCTTTTCTAGGAATCCAGTCAGTTACTTCCTAATTACTAGTGGCTATCCTGCTTACGTGTTACGCGCCCGGCCCATGTGCATTTCATGTTCTTGATTTTAACAACGATATTGTTAACCTCGGTTTTTTCCCTAACCCATTCTTGTCTCTTCTTGTCTCTTAAGGTTGCACCTATCATTTTTCTTTCTATCGCTTAATTCGTCATTGTCAATTCAAGCTGAGCACTGTTTGTAAGCCTCTAGGTTTCTGCTATGTTGGTAAGTACTGGCAATATCAGCTGTTGTATACTTTCTCCTTGAGAGTTACTGGCAGATTACCATTATTATTTGAGAATGCTTGCTGAATGTGACCCACCCCTTCGTTATTATAGTTTTTTTCACTCTCATGATTCGCCTCCACGGTTACTACCTGTCCTAAGTAAACATATTCATTTACAGCTTCCAGCGTCTCTCCAACTGTCGCAAAGCTCTGTTTTCTGCCGAGATTGTTGGTCATTACTTTAGTTTTGTGCATATTAACATTCAGACCTACTTTTGTGCTTTCCGTGTCTAGTTCATTGTTCACAAGCTGCAGTTTGTTTCCTGAGTTACTCATCAAGGTAATGTTTTCAGGCAATCGCAGGTTACTAAGATACTCTCTATTAACCCTTATCTCTACCTGTTCCCAATCTCTAGCCGGACGCTTCTCACACAGAAGATACATGCGAGTCTCTTCTGCATATCACTGAATCGGCACAGCAAACACCGGGTAATCTCATGCGCATTAAAGGCCGTGGTGTCCCAAGGAATCCCCACTGACCTCCTCTAAGCAGCATAACCGACCTCTCGGCCAGTCCCCTCCTTATGGAGTATAAAGCTTTGATCATCATCATCTGGCCCTAAAAACCTCCTGTAAACATGCGGTGAATAGCATTGGAGAGATCGTGTCTCCCTGTCTTACACTCTTCGTTATTAAAAGTATATCGCTTTCTTTATGGAAAACTATGGTAGCTGTGGATCCGCTGTAGATTTCTTACAGTATGTTTATGCAGGGTTCTTC